AGCACATAATGTACAGTACTAAATGTACTGTATCTGACAATGACCGATGCCATTTTACAAGCGCGCTGTCAATCACTGCACTGTCAACTTTAGCAATGTAAAGCCTTTTTACCATGCTTTTTCTGTGTCCAGATTTGACTGTAATAATAATGCAAAAATGGTCACTTCAGATGAATATTTCGGGCAAATCCTAATACGTGCAAATAATTATGACTGAAAATAGTTTCCAGTAACTAGGGTATACACAGTCATGGATATATAGGGCTATACAGCCATCTAATGGTTACACAAGGGTATTACAGATGATAAATAGTGCATAATTTTGAGGTATTTAGTACTAAGTTAATACTAATATATATATATATTATAGTGTGTGTTTATTTGTTTGAAATATTTTAAGTTTGAAATGTTTAATGGGAGTTCAAAGCAGTTTGTATTGTTAGACTATAATACATGTCCTTTCTTAATTTCCAGGGAGCGGAGCAACTTTTCCATAAACAAACTTCTGATGCTGACCCAGAGGATGTAGATTACTTTCTTTCGACTGGACAGGTAAACACAAATTAAGATTTTAGGCAAATATTCCATCTCTGTGAGTCCTAAAGTGCTTTAAAAACCACACACAGCTACCGTGACAGTAATCCATCTGACCTCAATGGTTGAATCAGTATCTTTTGAAGTGAAACAACAGATAAGAAAAAAACGAATAATTTAAACTTTTGACTATTAACAATCACTTTCGATCAACTGTCATACGTGCATGGGTTACAATTCACTTGTGTTATGTGGATTCTCAGAGATGGATTATTTTCTTAAAAATCTTTGTGTTTATGTCAAGAAAGAAAGTCATATACATCTGGAATGGCATGAAGGTGAGTAAATTAGAATTTTCATTTTTTGGGGTGGAATATTCCTGTAAAGACTGATATTGCACTCCATTACATAACATACTCATTCACTGTTTTGTAACTTATACTGTAACAGGAACTGTTGAAAGGATCATTGCAGTTTAAAACATATTATGAATTGTGAACATATTCTGTATATTATGTTCTTGTGCATTTTGTGTAGTAATGTAAATTATGAGAATACTGTGCATTACATGTATACTATGCAGTTAGTGTTTCGTGGATTCTGGTCTTTCCCGTCACAACATAATTGCATCCAAGACTTTCACTTTGATACTTCTGCATATGCTATAGTGACAATAAAGAATGTACATTTATTTGAACGAATTCATATTTTCATTTACATTAATTAAAACTGGTTTATATAAGTCACACTTGAAAGAGTTGATGATTGTTAAAATGTATTTCCAACTTTAAACGTTAGATGATAATGTTAACTAAATAAAATAACTAAACCATTAGTAATATATCTGTAAGTGATGCTGGGCTGTCTGATCACTGGCCGGTTTTGTTTCACAGTGTGATTTCCTGTCCTAGCCCTGTAAACCAGCCTTCTACCAACCATTCACGGTCTATTAACCCCTCCACTGCTTTGCAGTTTATGGATGCTTTTTTGGCCCTCCCAGCTCACAGTGATGTGATATCATCGCAGGATCAAAATGTTGAAGAGTTGGTAAATCGTTTTAACTCTTCATGTTCAGAAATTTTAAATGTAGTTGCCCCTCACAAAACCAAAAAACTGAAACCAAATAATCAACCATGGTTTAATAGCGACATAAAAATTTTAAGGAAAAAGTGTAGAAGGGCAGAAAGACAAAGGAAGAAAGACAAATTACAAATTTCATTTCAAATCTTACAGAGTAACTTGTCTTAACTTCCAAGAAGCAGTTTCCTTGGAAAGGGCAAAATACTTTTCTAACATAATCTCGAAATATTCCCACTGCCCAAAGATACTGTTTTCTACATTAAACTCAGTATTGAACCCTTCAAGACCTACTGGTCCAGAACCTAGCCTAGACTCATGTGAGAAGTTTTGTAATTTCTTTTTAAACAAAATTGCTGAAATTAGGGCACAGATCTCTGGTAATTAGAATTATCAATATGCAAATATTTGCCCCTTTGCTTTTTCTTACTTTCAGATTATTTCACACTCTGAGCTGTTGGACATTATTTCTAACATGAAATCAACCACTTGCTCTCTTGATGCTATTCCCACAAAGTTACTAAAGGATGTTCTGTCCTCTGTGTTGCCAAGTCTTCTTTCTATTATTAATAGCTCCTTACAAACAGGTACTGTTCCATCTTGACTTAAACAGGCTGTGGTCCATCCTTTACTCAAAAAAGCAAATCTCAATCCCTCTGATTTTAATAACTATAGGCCCATTTCAAATCTTCCTTTTTTGCACAAAGTTCTGGAAAAGTGTGTACTAAATCAAATTTCCCCCAACTTAATTTCTAACAACATTCTGGATCCTTTTCAGTCTGGTTTCAGAGCCAAACACAGTACTGAATCTGCACTTTTAAGGGTAGTAAATTACCTCTTACTATCTGCATATTCTGGCAACTGTACTATTCTGCTATTATTGGACTTAAGTGCGGCTTTTGATACAGTGGATCATCGTATCCTGTTAAAGAGATTAGACCTTGAAGTTGGCATTCGTGATGTTGCATTAGATTGGTTTGCATCATATCTCACAAATAGGAGTTTTTCAGTGGAAATTGGAGAATTTTCATCAAGCTCAGTTCCCGTCACTTCTGGGGTGCCCCAGGGCTCAATTCTGGGTCCAATCTTATTTTCTTTATATTTACTCCCTCTCTGCATCCTTTAAAATCAGGTACTGATTCAGTGTCCTCTCTGCTAGCTTGTTTAGAGGACATTAAGGTTTGGATGGACAATAATTTCCTTCAACTAAATAAGAAAAAGACTGAAGTTATCTTGTTTGGCCCTTCACACCTTTAAAATAATCAAAGTTCTACCCTGGGCCTTGATAAAGTTAAAAATCTGGGAGTTACCCTTGACCCTGAGTTAAAATTTGACAAACAAATCAATTCTGTAGTTAGAGCCAGTTTTCTGCAGCTTAGGGGACTTAGCAAGCTTAAAAATATTCTGAGCTTTAGTGATTTGGAGACCGTTATTCATGCATTCATCTCAACCAGGTTGGACTATTGTAATGCTCTGTACGTTGGAATAAATCAGTCCTCGCTCTCGCGCTTGCAACTAGTACAGAACGCCGCGGCTCGTTTTTTAACAGGGACAAAAAAGAGAGAACATATCACACCTGTGTTAGCGTCACTTCATTGGTTACCTGTTCAATTCAGAGTTGATTTTAAGGTTTTAGTATTTGTATTTAAATCACTTCATGGTCTTGCCCCTACTTATATTTCAGATCTTCTCCATTCCTACTCTCCTGAGAGAACACTTAGATCTTCCACCCAGATGTTATTAAATGTTCCAAAATCTCGACTTAAATCCAAAGGTGACAGGGCTTTCTCAGTTCTTGGTCCAAAGCTCTGGAATTCCCTACCATTGTCTATTAGACTATTCCCTACTCTATCCACATTTAAATCTTCTCTTAAAACATATTTTTTTTCTCAGGCATATGCTTAATTTGATAATATTTTAGTTTTAATTTTGTTTTATTTTGCATGGTAATGTTTTGTTTTGTTTTAACTTGATTCATTTTTGTTCTGTTTTCTTTTGATTTAGTTTATTAGTATTTAAATTGTATTGTATGAGGATGTTTTTGTCTCGTATGTTGTGCAGCACTTTGGTCAGCATTTATGTTGTTTTAAAGGGCTATATAAATAAACTTGACCTTGACCTTGACCTATATGCTGCTGCTAAAGTTAAAAAACAAACTGAGAGAACTAACATGTTAATGTTAAAGCTGAACAAAGAATAAGTTGAGAGAATTTTATATAATTGGCATATATACACATATATGATAGTATTTCAAATGTAACGGCACAACCTACTTAGACCCTACAATGCAAAATAATCATGAGCAATAAACAATATCCTACAAGAACATTGGACATTATACAATATTTCCAGTATTATATACAGTACTTTAATAATTAAACCTCAATATGACCTTCTTTTTCTCTCGTGTTTGATTCCTAGCGCGCCTAAAAGCTTATGTTGACAGAGTAGTAGCAACAGATAAATACAGATTGAATTCAAAAACAAAACTCCTAACTTTATATCACTAAAATGAAATTGGAAGCCGCTAACAGATGCTCACATCCACACTAGCAAGGCAACATTGATGCCTTCACTTCCAGATCAAGAAGCTGTCAATCAAAAACTCAGTAGCCAATGAGAACACACTGCTGCTAACCCCGCCCCCACAAGAGATTTGTGTCTGAATGGCGAACGAAAACTTCAGAAGCGTTAATGAAAACTTCAGAAGCGTAAACGAAAACTTTAGAAGCATAAATGAAAACTCTGGAAGCGCATTTGTAAGTACAGATCAGCTAATGAAAGAAGAGAAAACAGTTGCAAAACATGCAGTGTATTAAAAACGAAGTCAAAGAGTTTGCCTGCATTTAATTTTTTTTTTTCAGTTTCAAAGACATTTTATTCAGTTTCAATTTATATTTTCATATGTTTCTTGAAAATTACATTCATTGTAATTGGCACAAAGGTAATCCCATATGGAAGACAAACTCAAAATCGAAAATAAAATTAGATTAATTGCACAGACCTAAAGTGCAAGAGAGATCTCTATTGCAAATAACGGAAATGCATCAAACAAATGTTTTGATATTATCGCATATAGAGAAGGTTGGCTAGATACAAATAGCTTGATAATATTTATGCAGCAATAATAAATTGCAAGTGTTTTTTGTATGTCTGTGTAGAGTAGATGATAGATTGAAACGCTTCCCACATGCAGTGCAGTGATACGGTTTCTCTCCAGTGTGGATCCTCTCATGTCTTTTCAGAGTTGCTGACCGACTGAATCTCTTGTTACAGTGTGAACACTTGTATGGTTTCTCTCCAGTGTGAACTCTCATGTGAACATCAAGATTATATTTGCTTGTCAAACTCTTTCCACACTGAGTGCAGGTGAAAGATTTCTTGGCTCTTCTTTTCTTTAAATGTTTCTGTTTGGTTTGAAAGCAACTCAAAGGTTTTTCTCCAGTTTTAACATGATTTGTTACCTCAAATTCACTTAATTCTTCATTCTCCTCACTTTCTTCAACTCTGAAATAAAAGTAAAAACTGTTTATTTGTCAGCAACTCAAAAAAAAAAAAGATATATATATATATATATATATATATAAATGTGAAAGGACATAAAAATGAATCCTGATGTAACAGTGGATAGTAGACAATTGTTTTACAAAAGTTTTATTATTTTGATGCGATTTTATAAATGATACATCCCTGTAAATAATGTACCATGAAAGAGGTAATGAAAGAGAGAAAACAAATTATTATTTTGTAAGTATTGTTGCTATGTGGTTGCTAGGGTACTTGGGTGTTGTTATGCAGTTGTTAGGATACACTGAGTGGTTGCTAAGGTATTCTGGGTGGTTCATAGGATCTTGCTATGTGGTTGCTAGGTTACTTGGGCTGGTTGCTATGGTGTTTCTATGCGGTTGCTAAGATACTTGGAGTGGTTGCTAAGGTGTTGCTATGCAGTTGCCAGGGTACTTGGGTGATTGCTAGTGTGTTGCTATGCAGTTGCTAGGGTATTCAGGGTGGTTGCTATGCAGTTGCTAAGGTATTCTCGGTGGTTGCTAGGGTGTTGCTATGCAGTTGCTAGGGTATTTAGGGTGGTTGTTAAGGTGATGATAAGCAGTTACTAGGGTACTTGGGCTGGTTGCTATACAGTCACTAAGCATGTCACTAGCATGATTTAGCACAAAACCAGTTAAAACCAGCTAAAGAGAGTTTATTTAATGAAAACCAGCTAAAAACTGCTAAAAACAGTTAATTTAGTGAAAAACGCTAAAACCATCCCCTATAAATGCAATTGGGGTAGAAATGCAAGAGATGCTTCTAGATATTAGAAGGGAAATGTTGGCAATAACATAATGGGTGAATCTTCAACAATCAACAAACAGTGTTGGGGAGTAGCTAGCTACAAGTAGCGACGCTACTAGCATAACTACATTTTTAAGTAGCTTTACAGTAGCAACGCTACTTTTAAAACAGTGTAGCTTTTCCTGTAGCTAACTACTTCTTCCAGCAAGAAGCGATGTAGCGCGACCAAACACTACATTCTGTTTTGCGTTCTGATGAGTCACGAGCCTGTAATGCATTGAAGCAGCACAGCGTCTAAATTTGTTCATTACCGCCATCTTTTGTGATCTCACGCATCGCACGGCTTTACAGTCTTTCCACCGACAAGAGATTGTCTGATGATTGTGCAAAGGATGTACAAGAGTGGATATTTCACATAAATCAACTGTCATTTACGCAAAACAAAGATTAAAATGCGGTCTACGTCGAAGACTTAAAGCACGTACAGGAGGTGAATAATTTTTCTTCTTTATTGCACTCTAGATCAAATGTCTATTTTACAATGATGAACAGTCATAATATAATCTGTCCCCCCACAGTTTTGTAATAATACTAATCGAACAGAAAATAAAATCACGATATAGTAGTGTGCTTATCATTTTGGCAAAGGATGGTTGTGGTGGGATTCACACAAAGCGCAGTGTTCACGCGCGCAGCTGATGATTGATGTCTCCATTCACAGTCAGTAAATACCGCACGTGCTGTGAGTTTAACCTGCTTCTTTTATGACTCCTCTGTATCCAGTTTAAGTTGCATTTTTTTTCTTGCATTGATGTTACATTAGTAGCAATTTTGCACTTTGTGACAGTCAGTTTAAGATAATATAACTATATAACTATTCAGTATTTTATTATTGTGTGTATCGAATAGTTTACAAAATCAAATGATTGGGACACTTTTTGTCAGTGAAATGGCTTGGAAAAGTCTCCCAATCAACCTAAATTCACCCTACTCTTTGAAATCATGATTACATTACAGTATGCCGTGTTAAACCCAAAATATTTTACTTATAACTTCATTATATTTTACTTATAATTTCACTATAATTCTTCATTAATAATTATTTAGTTATTTGTAATGTTAATTGTAAAAAAAAATAAATTTGAAAGTAGTTTCAATGTAGCTAGCTACTTTTTGATAGTAACTTGTAGTGTAGCTAGCTACTTTTTCAGAAGGATAGCTTGAATGTAGCTTAACTACTTTAATTTACGAGTAGCTTGTAGCTGGTCAAGCTACAGTTTCAGAGTAGCTTCCCCAACACTGTCATAGTCATCTTACAAGTATTTAGGCAGAGGAAAGAGGCATGGATAATAAGAATTTCTTATGGGTTATGCATTGTGTGTGGTGTATCTGAAACTGTATATCATATGTTATATGATATGTTATTTAGTCACTTTAACCCCTTAAGTGCCACCGGCGGGCCGACAGCATGTGAGATTGGTAGTCGAATCAGGCTCCTCCTATCGAAGCATCGACTATTTGGGGTCACCCCTAGTGTGTGTATTAGCTTTTAGTAACAAGCCAATTCTTAGTGAGTTTTATTTTTTATTTTTTACTACATTTTCTTGTCACAAATTAATAAATTACTGTCACTACATAATTTTACATAAAGGCAAGGCAAGGCTATTTATATAGCACATTTCATACACAATGGTAATTCAAAGTGCTTTACATAAAAGAAAGTAAAATAATCATAAAAAAAGATAAAACAGTGGTCAAATATGTAAAATACAATCTCTGAGGTTTCCGATGATATATAGTCAGATATTTGCGGGGTGTTATGATCATGTCATTTTGGCTATATGGGGGTGCTCAAATGTCTGATTTCACATAGAACTACTGGTTTTCTCCCAATAAGTTAATATACAGCCTATTAAAATAATGCTGTAAATAAGAATCTGAAAAGAAAGAAGCTTCAAATAAATATTTTAATGTGCGTGAATAAATCCAACCACCCCTATAGATTTAAGTTTCACTTTCTATAGTCCGTGACCGACAGAGGAGCATCTTGGCGGCAGGGATTTAAAACTTTAACAAGACTCAAATTGACACAGGCAGAGTGAAAGACTGGATTTTTTCGATCAGGTAGAGTAAAAGTGATTTCAAAACATTTCAGCCGGTTTATATATATCGTGTATATATTATTTATCTCGTATAAAATACATTTGGTTGAGTTGCGCTGCAGTAAAGCGCTTAATTGTAGTACTATGGTGATTATCTCTTCAGCGAGCAGCGCGAGCAGGACAAACAACAATGCAGAATATTAATAACTATGACTGGGACTGTCATATACATAACAGTTATAACGAAAACACTATTATAATAAAACGCTGTGAATTTTTAGAGTTTAATTGCTGTGTTTCTGCACGTTGTTGCGTGAAGAACGTGTCCAAAAAAGGAGTTCATTCAGAGCCGCACAGACACATTCATGTGCATTCAGGACATTTTGTGCAGATAGCCTGTAAGTCGTAATATTAACGTTATGTTGTATAAATAACAAAGCGTATTCTATATGAGATAAATGATGAGCCAAATCCGATTGATTGATTAAAAACCTGCTGCTTCATTCTACTAGTCATCTTCAGCGCACACAGCTCAAAACAGAAATGCAGAACATTAATAACTACTGTCATATACATATTGTTATAATGAGAGCACTACTGTAAAAAAAAGTTGTGAATTCTTAGGGTTTCGCTGACATTTTATGTTAACTATCTTTTAATCAAAACATAAAACATTATTTACCCCGTTTGTATCTGCGAGGCGTCCGTTACACATTCTCCCTGTGTTAACGTAATTATGACTGTCGAATGTCTGACTTGACTTTTGGTAATATTTTGCCCCGCCCCCAAAACATATGATTCGACTATCAGCAAGATTCGAAAATTCCGATTCGACTATGAAAATCCTTAGTTGGGGACACAGCTAACACACTTGCAAACAAAGAAAGTCTTCTTTTTTTTGCCAATAATTAAAAAAAATATCTATTCTAGTTTTTGTCAAAAATATTGAAAATAAATTTTATATGTAGCCTATATTTGTTTTATGATTTATGTTGCAAGTATTCAGTAAAAACTGTAATGCATGTCAATTTCATGCATGATCATACATTAATTTTTTTTTTTTTTGTGAAAGTTCTGTAACAACACTCAAGTAGATATGTTTGCTAAAGATTTCTGATTAGAAAGAACCCACCCTTATAACTTTATGCAGTAATGAACAGGGAAGATATTCAAATAAGTCTCAGTAACCAACCAGAGCTATCAGAGCTGAATCTAAGGCTTATGAGTTTTCTGCCGTTCTGCCTGCCAATGAAACCTGACACGGACAAACTCCTTAGCAACAGGTGGTAATTAGCATTTTATTGGATATCACATGTCCGGGTGATGTTTGAAAATTGCTGCTAGAAGTTTGTAAACATGCATAAATGTAGACCTGCAAGCACAGAGGGGAAAAAAAAGATTTTACAGCATTTTGGAAGTTGTAGAAGAACTTTGCAAGTCGAGTGAAGAAGAGTCTGAAAGAGAAGAGAATGAGTCCAGCAATGATGAACTAGACATTTTGGAAGAGTTTTTTTTAGGCACAACAGAAGGGTAAGTTTCTCTCTATCTATCTACTTACATTTAGTTACATTTTCCTTGTATAAACATACAGTTTACTTATATTTATAATAGGTGTCCAGATAATGCTGATGATGAGGATTGGACTGCTGAACTAACATCATCAGCATCATTTGCTTCAGTTGCTGCTCCTAGCAATTTTGAAGACAGAGTGAGAGCTACAACCAGTGAAGAACGAGGGAGAAGCAGTGTGAGGGGAAGAGGAAGAGGGAGAAGCAGTGTGAGGGGAAGAGGAAGAGAGCATGGAAGACAGACCGACTCAGTTTCTGATACTGAGAGATGGCGTGATTCAGAAGAGCCTTACAGTAGCCGCGTTTCCACTGTCGGGCCAAAAGCGGGCGTGCTAGTGCGTGCCAGGGCTGCACGATAAATCGAAATCGCAATTCGGCAGAAGCTGCGATTGTCATGCGTATCTTTCAGTGAAACACGGTTCTGTGATCAGCAGTAAACCTCCATCCAAAGGCCAGAGGGCGCTCTCGCACTGAAACTCCAAATACGCCTCACAGAAGAAACCCAGGAAATGCCGTGGTAGCTGGATAAACAGAAGATTTAACTGCTTTAATTGATTCAACGTGACTAATAAACACACGATTATGACAATATATGATTTATCTGAGTTATTATTATTATAATTTTCCTTCAAATAAAGTATATTTATAATGCAATGCCTTTATCACTGCTTAGAATACTATGAAATATGTTGCGTGCCTTATTCTGTATAAGATGCCACATCATCTCACAGAAGGATTTATTTCAAACACTCGACTGACGTTATGAAGTTTGGAGTAAAAATATGTTATTAAATGTGGTATTTTCACATGCTTTCAGATGAAGCAGCATTTACTCCACAGAGCCGTAGTTCACTGAGAAGCTATGCAAACAGCTGTCATTATCGCAAATGATTTCTTCAATTTCATAATCGTGCAATAAAATCAATCTGTGATTTTTTTGCGTAACTTGTCAGTGAACTACGGCTCTGTGTAGTAAATGTTGCTCCATCTGAAAGAGCTGTCATTATCGCGAACAATTTCTTCGATTTCATAATATGCGATTTTAGTAAATGTGTAGTAAATGCTGCTCCATCTGAAAGCATGTGATGGAGATTTACTGCTGATTACAGAACCGGCTTTACTAACAAAATGCACATGACAATCGCATTCGATTAATCGTGCAGCCCTACCAGGGCCAGTCGCGTTTCCACTGTCACTTCCGGGGCTTGATCGTGCCTCATCGGTGCTTCCTCGGAGCCAAAGGCCCAGGTTTTTGGACCTGACGAAAACCTTGTGCCAAAACGGGCCAGCTGGGGCTAGAGGAGTGGTTATGAACAAAGGCGGAGTTTCTCTGCATCTGGAGAGCGTCAGCGCCGCGGATAATTTCAGAAAGTTAACAGCTAACACCAACATTAAAGACTTTTAAAATAATTTTAGTTCAAAACTCACTTTCAGACAGCAGTGAGTGTTTGAAATAACTTGATCCGATGTGGATTATGATCACCATACAAGGAAGACTAGACTAGACATAGTCTCAGAAAAATGGTTGCAGGAATCAAATTTTTCATGGTATCTTCTTCAGATTTGAAATAGAAACCCATGAGACATGTGATTTTCAACCCATTACTTTTCTGGATTGTTCCAGGACTGATTTCATTTATTTTTAAATGGAAAAAAAAATATT